AAAGTCCCAACTGAGGAACATTCTATAAAATAACTGACCAGTATTTTTAAAACAAGGGGACACTATAAGAAATTATTACAGACTGGGAATTAGTATAGATTGGGGAAAGAAGAAATGGCAACTAAAAGAGAGATAGTATCTCAAATTATATTCTCGGATAGAAAAGGGACCATTCATGGAAAAGTTGATTGAAATACAAATAGTGTGCAATTTAAGTAAGTGTTATACCAATGACGGTCTTCTCAGTTTGATAATGGTAATATGGTTATATACGATGTTGACCTAAAGCTGTGACAGCCAATCTTTTAAAGCTTTCAATGATACAAACATCCTGCTGTGGCATTTGTGTCACAGGTTTGTCACTACTGCCCTATAAGAAGCTGAGTAAGGGTACATGGAGCTGCACCTGCAACGTTTTGATAAATCTAAAAAAATTTTAAAAGACTACCAGGAAGTTCAGTAAATCTCCAGAAACATTAGAGAACTAGTATTAGTGGCTACAAAGCCAGTAACTATTGATAAATGGACACTGCAATGCTAGTCCAACAAAGATTTTTTGCCCACCACTGGACATTCCAGGCTTCTCCATCACCTTGCATTGTCTTTGTCATTGCTGCCTCTAGAATTGGATATAGATTCTGCCATTGCCACTTGTCACCAAAATAGACAGTGAGCAACTCCTGCTTCTTCCCACCACAGGCTCTTGCTTTGGACAAGGTGGTCACACATTATCCGCAGGGAGATTGGAATGAGTGCCTGACATTTCAGTTTCTATCCCTGGATGCAGGTTCTGTGTCATAGAGAAGGTTTCTTGGACACAGGAAGGTGAAGCTCAGTAGCCAAAGAGGAGGATAAACATCCATTATGCTGAGTGAGACCACATCTAACTGGAGTGGCCACCCAAGAGTTCTGTGAAGGAAGGACAATGCAGATGGATTTGTATTGTGAAAACAAATTTGAAATTAAAAACACCACAGTATCGGACACTCAGTCTTGCATTGAGGTATGATTCTGATAGAACTACATTGTTCTCATGTAACCACTATGCTGAACAAGCAGAAACAGAATATAAATAGAAAGCAACTTTATTTTTGTCCTCTGCCACCCCTATCAGTCAGCTCTGCACCTCCATGTTTGTGGTTTTCAGTCAGAGAGAGGAGTCCTTAGGAGTTTTCTGTCACTCTTCAGTAATACAATCCTAGGGACATTTCAGGCAATAAATAAAAATTAGCCTTAAAATGTCCAGCCTCATGTAATAGTGAAAATTTCAAATTTGTATTTGTGTTTGAGTCTCTCTTGGTATAGTTTGAGCCTGAAGTCAAGGAAGGAAAAAGCTGCTCTTTCCTCCTGTTTGTTCTTCCTCTTCTGGCTGATAGTAGTTGAAACTCCAGGACTAATGCACAATGTGAGTAGGTTGGGAGCAAAACATTTCTACTTTACAGGTCGTGCTGTAAGGTTTAGAGTTTGCGGATTGTTTCTGCAGATGTTTAAGGTTGATTCTTTTATGAACTTTTTTTTATGAATTCTAACATACTTCATCGGGTACACTGAAGATCAGATTTGGCTGGAGGAATGTGGAAGTTGGAGGACATACCACAGTAGGCCAGCGTGAACCTTAATTCTTGCTATACCATTGGGCGGGCCATACATACATCTAGACATTTCAAGTGCAATCCCAAACCCTTTCCTTACCTGTTTCTCTGTGTCTTTTTTATCCTGTACCTTCAGATGTCCTGGCATGTCCCTCTGATTCTTAAAGAATCATTAGAAAGCCTCTGTGGGATAGCATCTTGCATCTTCAGCCCAAGGGAATATATAATAATATATATATATATGTCACATAAAATAATAAATGTTTGTAGATCTCTAGAAGGCAACCATTTCCAAGTGTCTATGAAACATTCAACGACACTCTCAAGTCATTTATCAAAAATCTCTATCCTTCAACAAGACAAACAGTGGGCTCCATGCTCATTTTCAGAGTCACGTCTTTCCCTATACAGAGCTTTAAAAAGATGCCTCTGAAAGATGGAGGTAGTAGCCCAGTGCCATCTCCAAATTCAGGGAAGATGGCCCCAGATGTACAGTCACTTTTCCCTACAGCCAAATGTGTCTATTTCAGCTCCATAAATATGAGGAGCCAGAAGGTAAGGCAACTTCCGTGTCACTTCCAGCCCACCCAATTAGCACAAGATTATGAGGGAATGCATCCAGGTGTTTGAGGAGGAGCTCCTAAAGGTCAGAAACTGCCAAGGCCTTCTCATATGAAAAAATATGTGTGAAGTCAGGAAAAAATAAGAGATCTTCCATCCCCAGTCCACCTGAAACAGAGCATATACATAACATCTTTTAAGCAAAAACCAGCTGTTCTTCTGATAGTAACCTCTGGTTTGCAAATATGAATTTACTGATCATTTGTTAAGAAACACTGGATTCATTGTGACAGACAGTTATTCAGTTATACCTCATGAAGTCATTTCAGACTGATTTTCTATTCCAGGAACTTTGATTTTCAACAATGGACAAAACTTTGCCAAAAATTTTCTGATTTTAATGAGCCAGCACCCAATAGTAGGCATTGCATCCTTTAAACCGAACCCATCTGCAAGTTAGAATATTTCAAGGCCTCTCAAAGAAAACTCTCTAAACTCTACATTAGTTACTTCATTCATCACTGATATTTGACATCTGGATCTCACATAGTTCTTGCTCTAGCGGGCACACTTACAAACAAGAATGCGAATTGTCTTAAAGTGCCTGCTTATGCCTCATTCCAGTATGGACACCAATTCTAGTTTGGAGTAGCAAAGTTAATAAAGAAAATAAGGTTGGGGGACAGATTATTAATCCTACCTCCAGATATCTAATGGCTGAGGTAAAGAAACCATCATAATCACTGAGCCAAGGCTGTCTGCCTCTTCAACAAAGAATAGGCATCCTCTTTGCCATGGAGGAGCAAAACGCACTTAACTGGGTGCAAAGATTTGCTCAGTTTTCTCCTTGTGTGTACAAAGCCCAAAACAGACTACCACTCTCGTTCCTCTGATAGCCTGGAGAAGAACGGACCTAAGAACAATTCTGAATCAAGCTAACCCGAGGTTAGCTTCCCTCTTTCTAAAACAAAAATACTGAAAGGAAGCCCTTATGATTCAGAAATCTAAAAACACTGGAAAGATTCAGCTTTGGGGGAAGAATAGTTTTCAGCAGCATCCGTGTCCATAGTCAGAATAGAAGACAAAGATTTAAGACACAGGTGGTTTTCTCTAGGCCCAAACATCGTACGCTGCCACTTATTGTAGATTATGAAATTCTTTTTCACAAAGACCAGTTAAAATTGGATTAGGTGAGTGTCACAAAAACAGAGTTAGAAAAACAAACCCTATTTTCTGTATGAAACACATTAAAAGCATCAGGCTTTTGGGGACACTAGCCACATCTTTATGCTTCTAAATATCCTACCTCACTTTTTTCTCCTTATGTGTTCCACCTATTATCATAAGGCAAAATCTTTTCCTTAAACAAAGAACATACAGAAATGAGTCTGTTGTAAAGTTTTGTTTGGTTTTTAATACATCTTTTAAAAAAGAATGTTATATGTACCATTAGGCAAAGTTTCAAATATACTATGGAACTTTTATCCATCTATTCTATTTTTAGAACATAATTTTTGCCTGGACTCCATAATGAGTTTATTAATCCTTCATTGGGTCTATAACTCTTCATTATACCTTAAACTAAAGTCTCTTAAGGGCTGGGGATTTAGCTCAGTGGTGTCTACACCTACCTCACAAGTGCAAGTCTCTGAGTTCAATCTCTAGTACCAAAAGCAAAAACAAAACACTAAAGTCTCTCAAGATCAGCACTATTGACACCTGGGACCAGGTAATGTATTGTTCTGGGGAACTGTCCTGTGCATTTCAGGATATCTGACAGCCTGGTTGGTCTGGTCCCTACTCAGCAGATGCATGCAATGTACTCCCCCCGCAGTTTTGGAAACCAAAACTGTCTCCAGACATCGCCAAAATCATCTGTGGGGCATATCTCTCATCACAGTCCACCCCACCTCCACCACCACTCCTGGAACACTACTAGTCTCTGGCTGTCAGAGAATTATTAAAACATGAAAAGGACATTAAAAGTAGATATAATTTGAAATATTAAAACATTTGTTTCCCAAGTATTTAAACACCTGAGGTATATTTTAATAGACCCTATGCAGTGCCTATCTAATTGCTATTCCTTCATCTTTCCCTAATTACACAGAGGACTGGTCCACTGATGTCACTGATGACTCCTCCGCCCTAGAAGAGATTATCACCCATAAGAATTCCATTTATCTCTGCCAGTGACTGGTTGAAGGATAGGAATCATGTTGCCCAGTTCCAAATAATGAGCCATAAAAGGGAAAAACAGTGCAAGGAGAAATTAACCTTACAAAATAAAAGTAATTTAAAAATAATAAAAGTCTCTTGAAGAAAAAGCCATTTTGGCATATCTTTCTTTCCTCCATTGTGATTTCTGCCTTGAATGTAGCTGTACTGCTTGGAGCTCTGCTGCCAATCATAACTCACATCACAGGAACTGAACAAAAGAATGAAAAGCTACAGTTTGAGGAAGGTGAAGCAGGGAGAACAAGAGCATCAGTTTTTTGATGACATCCTTGAACTGCTGAACCAGCATTGGAACACCCACCTTCACAATGCTCACTAACTCAGACAATTCAACATTTTTATTGCCTAAGCAAAAGACTGGTAAATTCAAGAACTAAGAATTTCTTTTACATTTTTTAAAGGTTATTAAAATAAACAAGAATGAATGATAGGGACTGTATGTGGCCCACAAAACCTAATCTTTACCAAGTTACTCTTTCCAGAAAAGGTTTCCTAGTCCCCAATTTAAACCACCTAATTAATAGTGGATGTCTTGTGGTTTACAGCCCAAAGTTTTCCTAATGTAAGTACTAATATCTTCATTTTACAATTACAGACACTAATGCTGGAGTTGGGTAATGGTGGATGAAATGAGACAATTCAATTACAAATTGGGCTTTATTTCAATTTGTTGTAAAGCCAAACTGAGACATCACAAAAGCATTTAACAAAAGTTCTATCCTTTAGCAATTTAAATATTTTTGGTATACTAAGCTAGATTTTACAGATCAGAATAGATAATGCTTCTTGATGAAATGCAATGCAGTGGTATTTCACTTTGTGAAATTAATTTGCTTTACATTTCAGGGGAAGATGGCTGTGTTTGTGTTTATGTGGGGAAGATGTCTGTCACCCAATGTAGAGTTTGCAAAGGGAAGCCAAATTTTGCCAGACATTTTTGTTTGTGAATGAAACTGCTTACAAACAGAAGCCTTCATGAACTAAGGAATTACTATTTGTTCAGTGAATATCTTCCAAGAAGATCTGACTGTCCTGCTATCTGGAGCATCAAGGCATTTCCTGTGTTGGGAAACTAAACCTTGGAACTCTAAGGGAGAAAAGATATTGCATAAACAAACACAGTGACATGATAAATTCCCTCTCCTATTGCTGAGATAGTTCTTACTCTTCCTGCTGACTCACTCAGAAGTCAATTCTCAACGAAATATATTTACACCCTTCCTTAACCCTACTTCCCACATAAATACTGCTATTTACTGTGGGGCCAACACGGTCAGCATCACCTTGGACAGGGGTTTACATATCAATGAAATTTATACATATACTGCAAAAGTGAAGTCCAGAAGAAGGCATTTATGGAAGAACGCCTACTATGAAAAGTTCACGAGAGCTACAATAAACAACCACCAACATCTAACCTGGGGCTATGACTGAGCACTGAGTGGCAAGCATGGCCTGGCTTCTTTTTTTAATTCAACCAGCAATTTTTTTTGTTATGTCACAGTGCTTATTCTAGTATTCATACAAAACAGGCAGTCAATAGAAACACCAGTCCTCCATCTACACCCAGTACTGGTTGTGTTTCAGCGTGGGGTTGGTTTGTTGGCAAAGTTTGACCATGTCGGGATCAAGGTTCACCTAGGTCTCCCAAGGAGCACATTTTACGATTTGTTTAACCATTGTGGGGTCCATTTGTTCATACTGTAGGGCCCTGAAAAGACCAGCTGGGGGGTTCCTGGAGCTTTTGATGAGGGGCATCACTGTGACAGATGGAACAGTTATGCTTCTTTCTGGCTTACAACTTGGAGTTGTGGGTTCTAGGTTGGTCCGGGGATTAATACGTGGCTTTGCCTTTTCTGCTTTCTGGCCCAGCAGCCAGATACACAAGGTCACTGAAATAACTATCAGCAAGAGGAACACTGCAGCCAAGGGTATAATGACCATCAGAGGGTAACTGCTGTCTCTGGGCTGAGTGGATGCCCCAGGGCTGACTTTGGTGGCAGCTGGTGGCCAAATGACCCCCATGGGAGAGCTCGTGCCATCCACATGTGGCTCTGCACCACTGCGTTGTCCCCAGGGATCCGCTGCCTGCCATCTGGTCTGGGTCAGCTTCCCTCGAGTTTCCATTTGCATTGTGAACCCTGAAGAAACCACAGGCTTTTTCTGCGAGAAAACTGAGGTCCCAAGGTCCTCTCCAGTGACTAAAGGAACATCTGATGTGAAAGTTTGCAAAAGTAAGAGGTCAGGAGGCACTATGGTGAAGAGGAGATAACCTATTGCTGGCTGTACATGGTCTGTCCTGAGCAGGAACGTGAAGGAGTCATTCAGCACATCAGTGCCTGTTAGGTTAGCATGTGCATCAAGCACCAACAGTCCTTGGTCAACATCCTTCTGCATGAACACTGTGGCATCTTCCATCACGGTGCTGTGAACCACTCTCCGTACAAGTCTTCCATGGACAGGGGGTTCTGTCACTTCATATTCGGGATCACTGTCGGTCATATTAGCAAGTTCACTTGCATCAAGGTCCTTTCTTCTCAGCTGATGAGCCACTCTGTTAGCAACTTTCAGATTTGACATAACCCGCAACAGAGGCTGTACCTTGATGCCCAGTGTTTGCCCTGTCAGGTTGCTTTCTGATGTGAACATTGAGAACTGTAGCTGGTCCTCCGAGGCTGTGAGATTTATCATATGGTAGGACAGTTTTCCTGAGTCCAAATCCTCCTGGGCAAAGCTAGTGACCACCTGGTTTTCAATCAGCAAGTGGCCATGTTGGAGGGGGCTTGCTATTCTGTAAATGATCTGGGAGCTCCTTCCATTGGTAACTGCTGACAGGTGAGCATTGGTGACGGGGACAATTGTCTGGCCTTGTGGGAGAAGCAGCTCAGTGAGGTTCACAAGGGTGATGGAGATGGGGATGACATCCAGGTGGAAAAGCTTGTAGAGAGGACGGTGTTTGCCATCAGTCACACGAAAGTAAAACACTCCAGAAGACGGGCTTCCATCTTGTATGAACCACACCTGACAGCTATCAATGTCAGCTTGTGTAAATTGGTGACAAGGTACATCCGAATGGTTAACCATTGCCAAAAATCCATTATTGGGGTTATGAATGATCATATATCTGATCTCATTTGGAGGACTGTCTGGATCCTCCACTTTCAGGATTTCAGGTCCCACAACCAACCTACTACCCTGTAGCACTTGCAACCGAAGTCCTTTTGTCTTTAATTCTGGTGCCTGGTCATTCACAGGAGTGATGGTGATGTTAAACAACTCTTCAAGAAAGCCAGCCTCTGGTTTGGTGGCAGACTTGCTCTTTTCATTTGGCCAAACAGCAAAGCTAAAACTATCAGTCAGTGACTCAGAGTCATCATGAAGGTATGTCATTCCAAATTTATTGATGATGTACTGGGAGAAATTGGGTTTTTCTTTGGTAATATTTCTTTCTCCAACCATGATGGTTCCATAGTGAGGAAGAGATGTAACTTGGAACCAAACTTCATAGGAAGAGCGCTGATATTTGGATAATTTAAATAAGAGATTGGAAGCATCTAACTTAGATTGGTCGATTAGAACTTTGTCTCCCTCCTTGACAGTAGCTCCTGATAAAACATAAACATGAAGAACAGGTGGCATTTCATTAGAACTTTCAGATGACAGTTTCAGTAAAGCTTTCTCCCTCACATCTGCCTCTTCTAGGGGATTCTTCTAAGGGCTTTGGTTGCTTAAGTACCTTAATGATCACTGCTACCCAAAGCATATGAAAAAAATGAAATTTATATACAAGGACATATACAATTAAGTAAACAGTTCAAGCAAGTGCACTTAAAAACCTCAGATTGATTCACTTATAATTTAATTTTCTAACTTAGCTACTTTTGGACTTTCTCTGCCATGAAAACAGGTGCAGCTTTCAATACCCCTTTCCTTTTAAAAACTTACCCTATTTGTCATTTTCATTTTTTGTCACGAGTGTTCAGTTGTAGGCGTGGTGAAGTACCCATTTGGAGGTATAAAGAAAATTATTTAAAGCCAAATTACAAATCTTCCCCAATTCAACCATTAAGCTTATGAAAAGAAAGAGGCCCAGATAGAGGGCATACAAATAACAATTCCTCATAACTGTTCAGTTTTATTTCAGAGGCTATTATAATGGCATTGACAAAAAGGGAAAGATCTATTTTCAAATTGTCCCAACTTTAATATAGGTGAAGCACATACAATTTCTCAGTAGCATTACCTGTATTTGCAAGCAGAAGGCTGTGCCTACCAGGCTCATTAATTTCATATGAAATGGTAATAGAGAACTCCACAGGGCCTAGAACTGCTGCAGGTGGAGAGGATGCCATGAATGTAAAAGAGTCCTCCACAGTCCAGCTGGTGTTCTCGTGATCTATATGCTGGTATAGTATCAAGCCTTCACTGACCTGGGCAGACAGTGAAAAAAATTAGCCCCTGGTTTCCAGGGTGACACAAAGATTAAAATAGATCTTAACTAGAGGAGACACATATCTTTCTAGGACTTAGTTTATGTATGCTGAAATTATTGCTCATATTGCAAATTTGGAAACATTAAAAGCAGGATGACTTATTTTTCAAACATGATATTCTATTTGAAGGGCCAGGGATTTTGCTCAGTGGCACTGGGCCTGCCTCTCAGGCACAAAGTGCTGAGTTCAATCCCTGGTACCAAGGGAAGCAAAAGAGAGAGAGAGATTCTATTTCAAAATGATCAAGGGGGCTGGGGATTTAGCTTAGTGGTACCATGCTTGCCTTGCAAACACAGGTCCTGAGTTCAATCCCCAGTACCCCAGCCCCCCAAAAATCTATTTAACAAAGAAAGAAAACTACACCTAAACTTCTACTTTCTTGTCAGACAGTTTGAACAACTCAACCAATCATGTTTCATATTGACTTTTCTGCCAACAGATTATTTTTAATCAAATCATAGACATATCATTTCATATGTAAATGTTTTAGCAGATACTGGTAAAAGATAACTATTTCTAAGTTTGAAAGACAATTTTTGCTCTTTTTTTTTTTGTAGCTCTTCCACATTAAAAAAAAAAACTATTGTTTGGGCAAGCAAGATTTCAGGGAGTCTATATAGCACAGTTAGTATTTCTCATAGATTTCTTTTCACATATGGGTTTGCTTTAATTTTTTTCTTGCAATTTATGTGTTGAAGAAATTGAGTTGTCCTGAAGTGTTTCCTATATTTTGGATTTTTCCAATTGCATCTTTATGCTGTTAACATGTCCCTCTCTCCTCATGTTTCCTATATAAAGTAGTTAAATTTAGAAGCTTAAGTAAAAATTAGGTTTAATTTTTGGATATGAATATTTTACAAGTTGTACTGGATAATTTCCTTTTTTACTTCTTGGAAGGCTCAATAATATTTGCTTAACTCTCTTTAGGATGTGTTAAGGTTATTAGGGAGTTTCAAATGTTGGCAGCTCGATCTATCTGTTGAAAGGTTTCCCATCACCCGGTAACTTAATAGCTTAACAGACTCATTGATATTATTGTCTTGATCCATTGCTGCAATGGCAAAACACTGATACTCTTTCTTTTATCATCCCTTCTTCATTCATTATCTGGCAGTCTCGTATGAGGAAGAACTTTCATTCATCAGCTATCTGGCTACAAAGAGGAATGAGAGGGATAGGAGAAATGCTTGATTGTTTTGAAATCATTACAAACTTCTAAATGTTATTATATATGTTATTCCATTGCAATTATTATTCTCAATTGAGTTCAAATTGTCCCACCTTGCCTAATGTATTTTTTTAATATTTAACTTGTCTTTAATATCTGTGGCTTGTCAAGGTCCTTTCTAACACAACTAATGGGGATGAGTTCTACTCGGTGTTTTCTTATCCAGATACCATGTGTGTAGTCCTTCATCAAATATCAGTGACTCAAAATGCAAAACTATACCTCAGAAGAGAGGGCAACTGAAAAATAGTCAACTCTTAATTCTTAGGAGTGACACATTTTCTCACCTGCTATCTAATAATGTGTTCTGAACTTACGTGGGTTTGTGAAGACATACTAAGTATCCAGTTCAAAATTGCCTGGAACAAACTATCATATAATTTACAGAGCCGTTGAGTCTACTGATCTGCCAACATTTATAAATGCTGTATTAATTAGCAGAAGTTTGCATTACTGGCTCCATGTTTGTTCAGTGACTATGTCTATAAAGAGCTCTAGAAAGACTTTTTGGCTAGGGAGTTTCTGTGGAAGATGAGCACCCTGTCCCACAGTGTCCAAAAACAGTTGGTATGGTATGGAGATTTTTGTTCCTTAGACCACTTAATAATGGGACAAAGAAATGCTTTCCTTTGGGGATTTTAAAGGGGGAGAATAAAATGTCATTGCTCAACATTTCCTCAGAAAGAAACAAGATTAGGAGAAACTGGATTACTTGGGTTAAAAGTAATCCAATTTGGTTTGGAAATTGGATTAACTTTTTTAAGGATAATGATTTCTGGTTGTAACTAGAGCCTCAAATTCTCAACAGTGCCTAGAAAATAAGTCCTGTTTCCTTTAACAGCCCTATTATTTCTGTTCTGAGATTCTGATTTATGAAAAAAGATTAATCATAAATGTATTTTTCCTTCCAGGAACAGGTGATATTCCATGAATTTTGAACCAGAGGATGATTCCTGTCCTGCTTAAGGGAGACACAATATTATATAGAAATTCAGTTTCTCAATACAAAAAGTAACACAATCTATTAACCAGGAAGGGAAGTTTTCCTAGAAGTTGGTCATTCTTGTGTATTGGTCCTTTGGTATAAGTGAAAAATAGCTTCCTGAATATATCAGAAGTTGTTTAAATAATCTAAGTATCTTCTGATATTTGCAGTATGGATAACAATTGTCCCAGAGAATGAATGGTGCCCCTAAATGAGGACAGTTGAGACAAAGGTCAGAAATCTTCCATAGGAAAGACTCCTAAATGTAGTTCAACCTAATGGAGGAAAAGTCTAAGTTCTATTACAAAAAAGCCATTTGTTTCAAGAGTGAAAATTTAAGTGAATAACCAACTGACATTCTACATTAGAGAGTGAGAGAGAAAATGAAATTACATGTATGTTGAGAATCTGAATTTTAAGACTAGATAGATACTGAAAGAGCTGCAATAGGTGTAGAAGAGAACAAGAGTGCCTGTGGCATGCCAATCATGCCCAGAAAGAGTTTTGCAGGTGAATGGTCTTTAATGTTTAGACAAATTTTAGCTTCTGTAGCTTTAGAAGCCAGGTTCTAAGGGCTATGAGTGAGACAGCAATAATACACAGTGATGCCTGTTAGTGCTGGGAGAAGGACCGGAAAGGGAACACGAGACAAGAACTTCATAAAACAAAGTATGGGGTGAACCTAAGGAGAGAAGGATCTCAGAGATGGATAGAATTTTGGGACCCCCAAACAGAAAAATAGTCTTTGGAAGAGCTTTCAACAGGTCCACAGGATTCCACTCTATTCAATATGGGTATATTAGCCACTTAGCTGGATAACTGCACTCTGGGATTGAGGGAAGAAGGAAGGGAATGTTTCTATTTCTTAAAGATTTCTATTAGTCCAGATATTTTTCTCTTTTATATCTTTCTGGGAGGCCATTAGAAAACCAGTGGTGTAGATTTCCAATTAATAAATATAGCAGGAAAAACTACCATTTGACAACTATTATAGCCATTGCATTTCAGGTAGGAATCCTAAAGTGGTTGCTCGAACTAGTGGGCTACAGTGTAGTGAGAAACAGGATATTTTAATGGCTACAAAGCATCTCTTCACAAAATATGCGCTAGTCACAAAGGAGGAAACAGTACAGCATATTATCAGCAGAGAAATCTGAAAGGTGGCATTAGATCAAGCAATGAATGTGAAATTCTCAATACTGGCACGGAGTCAGCTTCAGAGGCTGCTGATAGAAAGTGCTGAGAAGAATCCAACAGTTCCCATGGCATTTCTGCCCAGAATTCAAAACCTGAGCTCTTGCCCAGAACACACAACTGGCACATTCTGAGTCTCATCATTAGGACACATTAGATAAAACACCAGATAAGATCAAACTGAGGGCATTCCACAGAGAACTGGCCTGCTCTCTAAAAAAGTAAAAGAAAACAAATGACAAGGCAAGATCATGAAAGACAACATAACTTCTCTCCAGATTAAAGGAAACTAAAAACATTTGACAACTAAATGCTATGGTGTCTGCTGTGGCTATTTTTTTTTTCTTTTGCTCTAAAGATACTACTTACTGGAACAATTTGGGAAATCTGAAAATGATCTATCAGTTGTATAATACATTGTATAAATGTTGATTTCATGATCTTGAAAACTGTATTGTGTTTATGTAAGAGGATGGCCTTATTTTTAGAAATTATACACTGAGATATTTAGAGGTAACTGGCCAGGTTGGAAACTGGCTCTGAAAATTTTAGAAAAGTATGTGTGTATGTCTTCAAAGAACGAAGGATAAAGTAAATTTGGTTAAATGCTAACATTTAGGGAATATGGATGAATAGTTTATGACAATTCTTTTTGCAATTCTTATTAAAATGTAAAGTTAAAATAACTTCAAAAATAACTCTCATGGTGTTTTATTACATCAGCTTCAAGAAGGGACCATCTTTTCTCTGATGACCCAAGTTATGCAGAATGAGGGAGAGGGAGCAACCCACAAACGCCCTGGACACTCGGAGAACAAGAAGTGGTTTCTTCCTATCCTGACAGGTTGGTCTCTCCCTGCCCTCCCAAACCCTACCCGCTATCCTCTTGCCCCTACCTCGATTGTTTGGGATTTTAACAAGGCTGTAATCCAGTTACTCATGAAGAGATGGGTATGTGGTTCCAAGTCTTAGAACAGGGTAATACTACCCACAAACGCCCTGGACACTCGGAGAACAAGAAGTGGTTTCTTCCTATCCTGACAGGTTGGTCTCTCCCTGCCCTCCCAAACCCTACCCGCTATCCTCTTGCCCCTACCTCGATTGTTTGGGATTTTAACAAGGCTGTAATCCAGTTACTCATGAAGAGATGGGTATGTGGTTCCAAGTCTTAGAACAGGGTAATACTCTTATATATATATATATATATATATATATATATATAATATATATATATATATATAAATACATATTATATGTGTATTATATAATACATATTATATATTGTTCACAATACATAATGTATATTATATTATATAGTACATATTATTATATTATATATATGTATTGTATAATACATATTATATATTAGATATAATGCATAGTATTATTTATATATATATATGGCCCTTGAATCTCTAAGATCTAAGATTTCTGTATCTTATATCCTTGATGTTTGTAAAACCAAAAAGAATATCTGGCAGACACTGAAGGAGAGATTTGTCTCTAAAAAGACCATGACCTCACTGACTT